AAAAAAAAAAATCTTAAATGCTGTAAATCTTTTGGTAGCTGAACTTCTATTGTAGCATTTAAAATTGAGTCAATATTTTCTTTTTCCAACCATTCCTTGTTCTTTAAACATCCCCTGCCACCTACATATACATTTACACCATTATCAAATTGGTCGAAAACCTTGTATCAATTGATTTTTGTTGTTCGAAATGATGATTTCCAAAATCATCACTTACTAATCCTAATAATGATTGTGATCTTTGTAATAGTTCGTTATTATTATTATTATTATTACTATTGTTGTCGTTGTTATTTTGAGTACTTTCAAAATCTCCTTCATAGTGGTCAACCATAACACTTTCTTCGCTATTATGGCTATCTGTGTCATTACCTTCGTCTTGAGTATTAAAATTTAATTTGATCTTTTCTTTTAGCAACACAAATTCATATCTTATTTCTTTTTCCTTGTCTTTGGTTGGCGATAGTAAAAACGAAACTTTAACTTTTTCATCTTTACTCTTGAGAGTGGCTGTGTCTGTAGATTGATTGTCATCTGTAGTGCTCTTTTTATTCTTTTTGAAAGTATCTAGTATCGATGATGAGGGTAGTTTGTTTTCTTTTTTTTCGTTTTTTTTTTTTTCTTTTTCTTTGACCTTTTCATCCTTTTCATTTTTTTCGTTTTCCTTTTTTAGGATCTTCTTAATTTCTTTATTTTTTTTTTTTTCTTCTTTCTCCCTATCTTTTTCTTTTTTCTTTTCATCTTTTTCTCTATTTTTATCTTCTTTTTCCTTTTTTTTATCTTTTGAGTTGTCACTAGTGATGGTACTAGTCTTTTCAGGCTTAACATTATCACTTTCAGTTTTTATATTTGTTACTGGTTGTCTTTGTCTGGGTTTGGTTGGATCAAAATACCAATAAATACCATCCAAAGTTGATTCTAACCTAGATTTCTTTTTTATTTTTTGTTTAAAATCGTTGTTATTAATATTACTATTATTACTATTATTACTATTATTGCTATTTAAAACTACAGGTTTCAAAGGGTCATGGTGTTGGCTCTGATTATGGTGGGTTGTATTATTTTCTATTTTAATATTATAATCTAATGTGTTATTACCATTGATATTCTTATTATTATTGTTATTGTTATTGTTGTTACCAATATTATTAAGAATATTTGGCTCAATATAGATATTTTCTTTGTTTTTATTATTTATTTCTTTTTTTATTTTTTCTTGTGACGTCAAGGTTGTGGAGGTAGTTGTAGTGGTGGTTGTTATCTTTGGAGTATCTATATTATTATTTTGAATAAAAGTGATACTAGAATGGGTGCTATTGGTCGAGGTGGTTATATTATTATTATTAATATTATTATTATCATTATTAGGTATATCCAATGCCATTTCTTTTGATTGACTTAAAATGTTGGTTATACTATCTTCATCATCACTGTCATTTTCAAATATAATGCTGTCTTCATAATGGGTTATGCTATAGTTAATGCTATAGTTAACACTGCTATCATTATCACTACTCTCATAAATTATACTATCTTCTTGATAGTTATAAGAATAATTATTATCATTATTATCATTATTATTATTATTATTATTATTATTATTATTATTATTATTATTATTGCTACTATTATTGCTACTATTATTGCTACTATTATTGCTACTATTATTGCTATTGTTTAAACTATTTTGTGAGTTGGTCAATTCATTAAAATTTATATCATTGCTGCTACTGGATAATTTCTTTTTTATAACTTTGGTTGTAGGTTTCTCAGAGTCTGATGTTTTAGGTGATTTTTCGAATAATAAGCCAGTTATATATTTATTATTAGGTATTCGAGGTCTTTTATCGGATTTTATCTTCCAATATTCACCATCGAAATTATCCATATTAGTGTTGGGTATGATATATTAATCAATTAATTTACTTAATTGTTTTTTTTATAAAAAATTCCAAAAAAAAAAAAAACACGCGCAATGTTTTTTTTTTTATTTTTTATTTTTTTACATTTAGGATTAGTTATCTTTAAATAGATTAAAATATTAAACATTTAAAATATTTATAATTACTTTTTTGGTTTAATAGTTTAATTAATATAATTCCATTAAATTTAAATTATTAAAATTAAATTACAATTAAGTGCATTTATTTTATTTTTAAAAAAATTTTATTCAAAATTTTTTTTTTTTTTTCTTTTTATTTTTAAAATTTTTTTTTTTATTTTTTTTAAAAATTTCAAAATTTTTATAATTTTCTCATTAATTATTATTTTTAAACATATATTTGTTTGTTTTGTTTTGATTTGATTTTTTTTTTTTTTTAATTAAAACATTAAAACAATTAAAGACATAATATTATAAATATATAATATATATATAATAAAATAATAAAATAATAAAATGGTAAGTCTACAAGTATTATAGTATTGGTAGTTTTATTTTTTCGTTTTTGTATTTATTTTCTTTGTGTGTGTGATATTTTTAAATTTTAGTTTATGAAAAAAGATATTTTTTTTTTTTTTTATTATAATATATTTTATTAACAAATATTTGTTATTTAGTCAACAGCAAAATTAGATTTTATTAGAGAATATGAAAAAGAATATCAAAAGGTATGGGAAGATAATAAATCATTCGAAATTGATGCTTTAGATCAAGCAGATCCAGAACATCCAAAATATTTAGCAACTTTTCCATATCCTTATATGAATGGTAGATTACATTTAGGTCATGCTTTTACTATTACCAAAGCTGAATATATGTGTCAATATCAAAGATTAAAGGGTAGAAGAGTTTTATTCCCATTTGGTTTCCATTGCACTGGTATGCCAATTAAAGCATGTGCCGATAAATTAACAAAAGAAATCCAATTATATGGCAATCCACCAGTATTCCCAGTTGAAGAAAAGAAGGAAGAAGTCAAAGAACCAGTTGTTGCAGTAAAAGAAGATCCACTTCAATTCAAATCAAAGAAAACTAAAGCAGTTGCTAAAAGTGGTGGTGCAGTTTATCAATGGAAAATTATGCAATCATTAGGTATTCCAGACGAAGAAATCCCAAAGTTCGCCGACTCTGCTTATTGGTTAAATTATTTCCCACCACATTGTGAAGCTGATCTTAAATTAGTTGGTGCCGGTATTGATTGGAGACGTTCATTTATTACCACCGACGTTAATGGCTATTATGATACATTCGTTAGATGGCAATTCGAAAACCTTAAAGCATTAGGTAAAGTTAAATATGGTAAACGTTATTCAATTTGGTCAACTATTGATGACCAACAATGTGCTGATCACGAGCGTAGTCAAGGTGAAGGTGTTGGTCCACAAAACTATACACTCATTAAACTTCAAGTTAAAGAACCAGTCCCAGAATGTCTTAAACCAATTCACGAACAAGGCAAAAAGATCTTTTTAGCACCAGGTACACTTAGACCAGAAACTATGTACGGTCAAACCAATTGTTGGATTCTACCAACAGGTCAATATGGTGCTTTTGAAATGGGTAATGGTGATGTATTTGTTTGTACCGAACGTTCAGCTCGTAATATGGCCTATCAAAATTTAACTACTGGTAAAGGTGAATACAAATGTCTTGCTAAATTCACTGGTCAAGATATTCTTGGTGCCGCTCTTAAAGCCCCATTAGCTATTAACGAAACTGTTTATGTTCTTCCAATGTTATCAGTTGATGAAGAAAAGGGTACTGGTGTTGTTACTTCCGTTCCATCAGATTCACCAGATGATTATGCCTCACTTCAAGATTTAAAGAATAAAGCACCATTCCGTGCCAAGTTTGGCATTAAAGATGAATGGGTCCTTCCATTCGAAGTTATTCCAATCATCGATATTCCAGGTTATTCTACTACTTCAGCAATCAAAGCTTGTCAAGAAAACAATGTTAAATCACAAAATGATAGAGCTCTTTTAGATAAAGCCAAAGAAACTTGTTATCAAAAAGGTTTTAATGATGGTATTATGATGGTTGGTAAATATGCTGGTCGTAAAGTTAGTGAAGTTAAAAAGATCATCAAAGATGAAATGATTGCTGCAGGTGAAGCCGTCGAATATAGTGAACCAGCCTCAAAAGTTGTATCACGTTCTGGTGATGAATGTGTCGTTGCTCTTACTGATCAATGGTATATCAATTATGGTGATGATGATATCGAATGGAAAAACCAAACTATTAAACAACTCGAAAATATGGAATTCTATAACCCAGAAACCAAAAAGAAATTTGAACATGCTCTTGGTTGGATGAATCAATGGGCTTGCTCACGTAGTTTTGGTCTTGGTACTCGTTTACCATGGGATGAACAATTTTTAATTGAATCCCTTTCAGATTCAACCATCTATATGGCCTTCTATACTGTTGCTCATCTCCTCCAAGCTGATATCAATGGTTCAAAACCAGGTACTGCTAATATTACCCCAAGTCAAATGACTAGCGCTGTTTGGGATCACGTTCTCCTTGGTAAAGATTATCCAGAAGGTTGTGCTATTTCAAAAGATACTTTAGCTCTTCTTAGAAAAGAATTCACCTATTGGTATCCAGTTGATATTAGAGTTTCAGGTGCTGATCTCATTCAAAACCATCTTACCTTCTTCCTTTATACCCATGCTGCTATGTTTGAACAAAAATTCCAACCAAAGAGTATTCGTGCAAATGGTTTTGTTTTATTAAATGGTAACAAAATGTCAAAATCAACTGGTAATTTCTTAACTCTTGCTGATGCTATCACTAAATTCTCTGCTGATGGTACTCGTATTGCTTTAGCTGATGCTGGTGATGGTATTGATGATGCCAATTTTGTCGAACAAACTGGTGTTACTGCTCTCTTAAAACTCCACACTCAAATTCAATGGATTCAAGAAACCCTCGATTCAATTGATAAATTCCGTTCTGGTCCATTAGATCGTGTCCAAGATACCATTTTCGATAGTGAAATGAACAATATTATTGTTGAATCCGACAAAGCTTATCAAAGATCAAACTTTAGAGATGCCCTTCATTTAGTATTCTTTGATCTCCAAAATGCCCGTGATCATTACAAAGTTACCACTCTTGATCAAATGCACAAAGATCTCGTACTTAAATTCATCGAAATCCAAGCTGTTCTCATCTACCCAATCGCCCCACATTTTGCTCAAAAGATCTTTAACATTTTAGGTAAAGGTAGCATCTTAGATGCTCGTTGGCCAACTGCTGGTCCAATCGATTTCGAAGCCTTAAAGAAGAATTCATACATCGAATCAACCATTTACAGTTTCAGAACCAGACTCCAACTCTTCCAAAAAGCCAAAGGTAAAGGTAAAACCGCTTCCGATAAAATTCTCCCAGAAAAATCAACTATTCTCTTTAGCAAATCATATCCAAAATGGCAACAAGATGTTCTTGAATATCTTGCTTCAATCTATGATGAAAATACCAAATCATTCACCAAAGATAATAATGCCATTAGTGAAGAATTAAGAAAGAGAGAAGAATTTAAACCACATCTCAAGAATCTCATGGGCTTTGTCGCTGCAGTCGGTCAAAACATTAAAGAAATTGGTAAAGATGCTCTTCAAACCTCACTTACTTTTGATGAATCCGAAATTCTCAAAGAAAACATTGATTACATTTGTAAAACTTTAGAAATCACTACATTCGATGTTCAAGAATTTGCCGATACAACCCAACCAGCTGCTGGTAAAGGTGTTCAAGCTCCACAACCAGGTCGTCCAACTTTTTCATTCATTTAAAATATATTATTATAAATAAATAAAAAAAAAATAAAAATTAAAAAAAAAAAATAAAAACCAATCAATGCCTTATTAAATTACATAAACTTTTCATTTCTTTGTCAAAATCAACAATGTGCAAATTCTTTAAACAAAATTCACTTTTTTTTGTTTATTGTTTAATAATACACCAAACTAATTAAATATGAATTTTTTACAGATATAAAAAAAAATACAACCATCCAAAATTCCAAACTGCATCTAAAAATAATTTTTTATAAAAATAGAATTTTTTTATTTTTTTTCTTATTCTATTTATTAAAATATTTATATTCTTTTAAAAAATCATGATTAATTTTAAAAGCAATAATGATTACAATTGCATACCTTATTTAATTTTTCATAATAAAAAATCCAAGTTTTAATTATAATAAAAAAATAAAAAATAAAAAAAAAATATTTTTTAATTTTTTTTTTTTTTTTTAATTTTTAATTTTTTTTTTTATTTTTTTTTTTATTTTTTTTTGGTTATTTCTAACAGACTGAGAAATCTATTTTTTTTTTTTTTAAATAATTAGTTCTCTTTGTATTATATAAATTAAATCAAATTAATAGTTAATAGTAATTGTTGTTTTTACCTTTCTTTTTTTTTTTTTTTTTTAAACCTTGTACAAATTTATAAATAAACATTAAAAAAAAAAAAAGCAAAATAGATAATTAATATAATAAAAAATGTCATCACCAACAAATACAACTACCACCACCACCACTGCACCACAAAGCGAAAACGAAACTAAACCAACACCACCAGCCCCAGTTGAAGATAAATCAAATGAAAGAATTAAAAAGAGGGATCCAGGTAAGTTTATAAATTTATAATTCTTATTAATATTATTTTTTCATAGTTTTAGCATATAGAATCACCTAAAATTACAATTAAATAAATACTTTTTAAAAATAAATGCTATTGAATTAAATTATTAATTCATAATATGTTTTTTCAACTATTTTTAGGTAATATTACTAAAGTTATTAAATGTGGTGTTGTTGGAGATGGTACAGTAGGTAAAACTACACTTCTTCTTTCTTATATTACTCAAGCATTCATCACAGAGTATACACCAACAGTATTTGACAATTTTTCAGCTATCGAAGAAGTTGATGATGGTAAATTAGTTAATGTAATTTTGTGGGATACTGCCGGTCAAGATGATTACGCCCAAATCCGTACCACTTGCTATACTAATTGTAAATATGATGTATTTTTACTCTGCTTTTCAACTGTTAACCGTGATTCATTTGATAACGTTAAATACAAGGTAATTTTCATATTAAAAATAATTCAGATACCAGATCAAAAAAAAAAAAAAAAAAAAAAATCATTTATTAACCTTATTATTTAAATTTATCTAGTGGTTACCAGAATTAAAAGCAAACTCACCAGGCACCCCATTTATTTTAGTTGGAACTAAGACTGATATTAGAGACCAACAAACTCAAGGTGCTGTATCACCACCACTTACAGGTCAAGTAAGTAGTATTATTACATTTAAAGAGGGTCAAAAGAGAGCTAAAGAAATTAAAGCTCACAACTATATGGAATGTACATCACGTGAATCTTCTAGTGTAGCTAAAGTTGTTTTAGAAGCCGTCAATATTATCATTGAAAAAGAAAGAGTTAAAAGAGTAAGCAACGAAAAAATGTGGAAAAAAGAAATTAAAAAAGAAGAAAAAGAAGCAAAACAAGAGCAAAAAGAAAGAGCAAAGTATTTAGAGAAACAAAAAACTAAAGAAGAAAAAGCATCAAAGGATTCTAAAAAATCAAATGGTTCATCCTCACCATCCTCAACCCCCCCAGCTTCACCTGAAGAATCTTCACCAAGATCCGAAAAAAAAAACAATCCATCAGCATCAACATCAACAACAACAACAAATAATAATATAAATAATAATACCGCCACCAACTAATTATATGTGTTTTAAAATTCATATTTTTTAATAATATAGATTAAATATATTAAAAATTTTGTAATCAATAAAAATAAATAAATTCTAAAAAAAATTAAAAATTAAAGATAAATAAACTCCAAATATATTTATATTATAGTTTAGTAATAAATATTTATTTTTACCAGGATTTAAACAAATATAGATATAAATTTAAAAAAAAATATTTTTAGTTTTTAAAATTTGGCGCTAAAAAAAATTTTATTTGTTTGTGAATCACCCGTCCAAATAAAAAATAAATATGAAATGAAAGGTTGAAAAAAGAAGTTTTAGTAATGAATTAAATATAGGCACTATTTATTTTCTAATACTGATTTATTTAATTTTATAAAATACGTATTGTTATTTATTTATTTTCTAATATTTAAATTTTTTTTTTTTTTTTTAAATTATATAATTATTTGTTTTGTGTGAATTAATTAAAATTCATCTTCTTCGTCGTGATCATTTGGAATATTATCTAAAAATGAAAGATCGGCTGATGAGGTATTGGTTGGATTGGCTGGGGTTGGGTCTAAAACAATGTCGTGATCTTCTGAACTTGGGTCAACAAGTGGTGAGGTGGTTTCAAAAAGGTTATTATTTAATTGTGGTGAAGGGGATTTAACTGGAGTATTATTATTTGATGTAGTTGAAGTAGTAAAATCTAAATCGTCTAAAAGTGAGGCAGCTGTATTATTATTATTGTTATTGGTATTAGTGGCAGTGGTTGTAGTTTCAATATTTACTAATGATGGAGAATCTAAACCATTTGTATTAGATGTTACAATTGGAGATTTTGTATGTTTTGAACCATGTAAACTGAAATCTTGTAATGATGATAAAACTTTTTCATATTCTTGTTCGCTGACATTTTCAACCTCTTCAATTAAATTTCTTTGTTTCTTTGGAATATTGACATACTCTTTGGCAGATTTTGGATGAGATCTTAATGATTCAAAATATTTTTCGGCTCTAACTGAAAGATCATAACCTGGGAAAAGATTTGGATAGTCAATTGGATTTGAAAGAGCTTCAGCAGCTTTTGAACTGGTATGTTTAAGGTTTTCTTTCCATTTTTCGACCATTTCAGGAATTAATGATGGAAGATATGTACGTGCCATAAATGCTGCTTCTGAAAAGCCACCACCTTCACAAAGTGTATTGAGGCAATTTAATAATGAGTTTGGAATTAAAAGATTACAAATAAAGCTAATATTGGTTTGACCTTTTTCCTCTGCTAAAATTGAAAGCTCCTTCATTCCTTCAAGATTACCAACTGAGCTGTATAATAACAATAAACCTGGTAAATCCTCTGCTTTCTTTAAACAATTTTCTGCCAATTTAATCTATAAAAATAAATAAAACAATTAATATTTAATTCATTTAAATAATATAATAGTAAATAACCTACATCACCAATTTGTAAAGCCAAATCACCTAAATGTTTAAATTTAGTTTCTGATTCAGATTTTAATGCAATTTCGTGAGCAATTTGAAGATTTTCTAATTGGATTGCTAATTCAAATCTATGATCGAGATCAGTTGAAACTTCTAAGGCTTTTTCTTTATAACCTTGTGATTCTAAAAAGTGTGCAATGCTATTTCTTTGATCTTGTGGTATTTTTGGTAAAATTCTTTCTGCACTTTCTAAATCACCTCTTAAAATTGAGGTTTGGTAACTGATAACTGATAAATGAAGTTTATATGAAACAATATTTAAATTCTAAAATAAAAATAATTGGAATTAGTTTTGAATATTTACTATAAAATTTTTAATCCACTTACTTTATCAGATAAATATAAACGACCACTTTGTGGCAAATATTTAAGTAAATACATATGTTTTTCTAAATGTGAAATGGTTACAACTTCAGTTCCTACACAATAATTTAATTTACTGTTCTTATTGACATAAATGAAGCAATCACCAACCCAAAGAGCTGAACCAATTGTATCTTCAATTTCATGTACAACATCGAAAGCATCTTCAATACCTAATTCACCAATTGGTTGACCACTTTCCATGTATTTTTGAACTGTATCTTTAAAGTATCTAAGAATAAATGTTGATTTATCTGTAACAATTGCTAAATAATCTCCATTTTCTGACCAGAATATCTTTATGATAAAGAAATAGTTAATATAATAAACTTTTATAATAATATATATATTTAAATACATACATTTTTTGGTGAGGTTTTTTCAATTCTACGAATAATATCAGCAGAATCCCAACTATAAAAACATAAGGTATCATTTGATTTAACACCTAAAAGTGAACCACCGAAAATACCTTCAGCAGAGAATGCTGGTTTGAAACTATGAGTTTCTTTAAAGTTTTTAAAGATTTTAATACGTGAAGAACTTTCTCTAACAGCGTATTGACCGGAATCTTCGGCCCAAACAAATTCCAAAGCATTACCAAAGGACTTATTTCTCCAAGCCAAAGCAGTGTAAATGATGAATTCGCCATCACCACAAACACTAACGAATCTACCATTTGAATTGTGTTGAAGTTTTTGTGGGAATACTTCGCAATTACCAAGATCTTTACTTGAAATTAAAAGCTTTTCACCATCTTGAACAGTATCGCTTTCTAAAGTATTGCTGATATTTGCAATTCTAATTTCATTATGTTTAGCATAAATAACCTTACCACCTTGATCCATACTGACTGGAGGTTTATTTTTACCAATCTTTAAAACTACAGTACCATCATCATAGCCAACACCAATAAAGTTTGAACCACGAAGGAAATTCATTGACCAAACGAAACCCATACCGTAATTAAGAGTTCTTTCTAAACGATAAGTTGATGAATGCCAAAGTTTAATTGTACCATCTTCAGAACCACTAAGAATTAATGGTAACTCTGGGTGATAGCATACTGCTGAAACATTATTACTGTGACCTTCGAGGGTTTGGACACAAGTCTTTGATTGATAATCCCAAATTTTAACCAATTTATCATCGGCACCAGAGATTAAGTATGGTTTTTCACCACCAGAGAAATATTCGACTGCATTAACACCTTTTTCGTGACCCTCTAATGTGAAATGTGGATGTGGTGAATTAATACTCCAGACTTTAACAGTTTTATCTAATGATGCTGTTGCAAATACATTGGTATCTTTTGGATTCCATGCCATGGACATAACATAATGTGAATGACCTTCGAATACTTGAATGTTGGTCCATTTTTCGTAATCCCACAATTTAATAAACATATCATCTGATGATGATAAAATATATGGTAATGTTGGATGAACAATGATACATCTAATATAATCTGCATGTGCTTCGAATGATTTAATCTTTTCCATTGTATTATAATTATAAACTCTAATATATGTATCATCTGAACCTGTAACTATCCATTGTTTCTTTGGTATAAATTTTGCTGTTCTAACTGGATTTTGTGGTGAAACTTCAAATGATTTAACCATATTCTAAAAATAAATTTTAAAAAAAATTATTATTATTATTATATAATGATATTTGTGCTCAAATTTTAAATACTTACTTGAGTTTCATAATTCCAAATATAAACATTACCATCATATAAACTTGCTAAAATCCATGGTTCTGTTGGATGAATATCAACTGATTTAACTCTATCAGATCTAGTTGATAATTTTTTCTATAAAATTTTAAAAAAAAAAAAGATATTTGTTAATAATTACTGTTATGAATTAAAACAAACTATAGTAGTAATATAGTAATGATTTTAAAAAAAAAAAAAAAAAAAATTTTGATTCTTGAAACAATTTTACTAAACAACCAAATACTATGTAATCTTTTATTTTTTTTTTTTATATTACTTTTATATCTAAACGTAATGGCATCTTAAATTTATTATTATTACTATTATTTTAAATACAATAAAATATTAAAAAAATATATATAATAATAAATAATATGTAATATAAAAAAATAAAAAAAAATGAAAATCAAAATTTTTTAATATTTTTTTTAATTTTTTTTTAAAATTTTTTAATTTTTTTTTTTTAATTTTTTAAAATATATAGAACTTCGTGCAACATCAGCTCCATATTAGCCACATAGTTAAAAAAATGTAGTTTTCATTTGACTTTTTCTCAAAAAAATAGACACATAAACAATTATTTTTTTTTTATTTTATTTTATTTTTTCATTTCCCCTTCGTTTTTTGATTAATTAAAAATAAAGTTAACTTTATTTAAATAATAAAAAAAAAAAAAAATTTCATTGTTAAAAAAAAGGTAAAAGATCAAGCATTCAATAATCTATAAAACAACTTAAAAATAAAATAAATAATGAAATTTTTTTTTAATTTTGTGATCTTTTTATAAAATATAAAATATAAAATAAAACAAAAACAAAAACAAAAACGAAAACGAAAACGAAAACGAAAACAAAACAAAACAAAATATTATATTTTAAAATATAAAATATAAAATATAAAATATAAAATATAAAATATAAAATATAAAATATAAAATAAAATAAAGAAATATAAAATTAAATAAAAAAATAAAATATTAATGCCAGATTATCTTTTTATCATAATCTTTTTTTTTTTTTTTTTTTTTGGGTTTTCTGCGCTACTCTTTTTTTTTTTAATAATGATTTATAATAATAATAATAATATTAATAACAAATAATAAATAATAATGGTTTATTATTTTATGAAATTTATAATAAATTTTAAAGATATAAATAAAATTTTTTTTTATTGTATAATTATCGTTTTTTTTTAAAAAAAAATCAGACCAGATCTCGATAAAGCATAAAAAGTATAAAATTTATTATTATGACAATATAAATATTTTAAATAGTGGAAATAAAATAAAACTATTTTAAGGATGGGGTTATACAGTCATATATAGTGGGTAGAATATAAATAAATAAAAATATTTCTAGTAAATTTCAACACACACACATATACATAAACAAACCCACATATTTAGAAAAATCCACATAAAAACCCACATAAAAACCCACACTTTTTTTTTTTTTTTTTTTTTTAAAACTAAACATTTAATGTATAAAAGGAAAAATAAACAAATATAAAAAAGGTAAAAGCTCGATTTCGATTCAAAAAAAATAATTGTAAAATATAAAAATTAGAAGAACAAAGTTATAAAATTATATTAATTATATAATAAAAAAACCAAAATTTATTTTCCACACCCGCACAGAACCCAACCAAAAATCTATGATAAAACTTTTATTATTGTAAAAATTTTTTTGGGTTTTTAATTTTTTTTTATTTTAATTTTTTTTTTTAATTTTTTTTTTTTTTTAAAATTTTTTTTTTTTTTTGTTATGATATTTATTTTTTCATTTTTTTTTTTATTTTTTTTCAATACTATAAACTAAAAACTTTAATTATTTATATCATATAACAATGGTATGTGTTTTTATAACAATAACAATATTTATAAAATTTATATTTACAAATATATAGATAACATTTATTTTGTATAATAATAAATATTCATATAATAACTTTTTTTAAAAAAAATAAAAATAAAAAATAAAAAAACCGAATATTAATATTTTTTTTTTTCATCAAATTTATTTTTATAATTCTATTTTAATCTTCAAATAATTTTAGTCATCAGGTGTCAAATTAGCTAGCGACTGTGTTGAAGTCTTCAACCAATTAAAATTAGGCCGTAAATTCGGTATCATTGTCTACAAAATCTCAGCTGATTCAACCCAAATTGAAGTTGAAGAAAAAGTTTCTGGTTCAGAAGCCACTTTCGACAAATTCTTAAGCTTACTCCCAGAAAACAACTGCAGATACGTTCTTTTTGATTACGCTTTCGAAGAAGAAGGTGCCAACAAAAACAAAATCACTTTTGTCCAATGGTGCCCAGAAACCTCAAAAATCAAAGAAAAAATGTTATACACTTCATCAAAAGATGCCTTACGTAAAGCTTTAGTTGGTATTCAAATGGAAATCCAAGGTACTGATAAATCAGAAGTCGATCATGCTGCTTTCAAAGAAAAAGTCAACAGAATCTAAATTATCTATTTTTTTTAGTAAATTGTGTTTTTAATTAAATTTATTTATAAAACAATGCAAAATTAAATATTCAAAACCCTGTTATAATATATACTCATAAACTCCAATCTTTTTTTTTTCATAAAAATTTTTATAAAAAAAAAAGTTAGTCTTTTAAAAAAATTATTTTTGTTATCTTCATATTTTTTTTTTTTTGGCCAAAATTTTTTTTTTTCCCCAATTTTTTTTTTTTTTTGTTGTAATTGGAAGCCCAATAATTTTTTTCAAACCAAAATTTATATAAACTAAGGAGATATTATCCTTTTGATTTTATAATAATATATTTAAAAAAAAAAAAACAATTTTTTATAATAAAAAAATGGGTTATTAATGGCTATTAATATAATAATCTATTTTTAAAAAAAAAATTGATTAAATTTTTATTCATCATATCCATTTTTAATTTGGGTTTTGTTTTTTTGCTCAAAAATAAATGTATTTACGAACCTCAAAAATTTACTTTGAAATAAAATAATATTTAGAAAATTTTTTTAACCCTTTTTTTAATTAAAAATGAAATTATAATTGTAATTAAAATTATAATTGTATTTTTTTTATATTTTTCAAATTAATACATAATAATGAATAATAATAATAATAATAATAATAATAATAATAATAATAATATAAATAAAAACAACAACAAAAATAAAGATTTTGTTATTTTATCACAATTAGAGGAAGAAAAGAATTTTATGAATGAATATAATAAATTTAAAAAGAGAAAAGAGGAACATTGTGATTACCTAATAAAGAAATTTAAAAATAGTACAATCAATGATATGACAACTAATGAATTAATAGAATTGGGAAAATTTTTTAATATTCCAAATAATCAAGAACCTAAAATTATTTTGTTTGAAAAAATTGAAGAGTATATGTTTTCTCAATATAAAATAGAAAAAGAATTAAAAAAAAGATAATTTGGAATAAAAATAAAAAATTTTATCTATATAAAAAATAAAAGTTTATAAAATTAAAATTATGGTTTTTTTTTTCTTTTTTGTTTTTATTTTATGTTTGTTTTATAAATAACATTTAACTTTAGCTTTTGTGTGTTGTGGTTTTGGGTTTTTAAATGGTTTTTTATTTTATTTTTTTTATTATTATTCTTTTTTTTTTTTTAAAATACTATTTATAAAATTATTTCTTTAACATATTACGAACAAATGGTTCATAGTTGATTGCACCATCACCAGCACCTACTGCTTGTCTTAACATTTCTTCTACTTGATCTTCATTTAATCTTTCACCCAAATTTGTAAGAATGTGTCTAAGATCTGATGCACCAATTAAACCTTTGCCATCTTTGTCAAATACTTGAAAGGCTTCAATAATTTCTCTTTCATCAAAATCATCAACAACTTTTCTACTTAAATAATTAAATAATCCATCCAATGTCATTTGATTATTTGCTATATTTTATAAATTAAAATAACGTTAATAAACTATTATTATCTTCTTCATTACTATTTAATGTATTTGTGGTAATTAATAAAAATACAAACATCCATATTCTCTTAAAATATCATTTATATCGTTTGGGGATGGATTTTGGCCTAACCATCTTAAAACATTTGCTAATTCTGTTGCTTCTAATCTACCATCTTTATTTCCATCATATAAATTGAAAGCTTCTTTGAATTCAGATTGAGCTTCTTCATTTAATTTTGAGCTCTAATATTTATTATTTAGTAAATATTTGAATGAAAATATTAATATTAATATATTTTGTTTATTTTTAATAAAATGATTTTTTGAAATTTAAAAAATTTAAAAAAAATAATTTATTACCATTTTTATTATAATTGATTTTTTTGAAAAGGAAATAAAATTACAATGGGGGGGATAAATAAATAATAAATAAATAAATGGATATGTTTAATAAAATTACAGTATGGATTAAATTGTATAAAAAAGATTTATTAATAAAAAAAAAAATCAAAAAAAAAAAAAAAAAAAATTATTTTAATTTTTTTATTTTTTTTTATTTTTTTAAATTTTTTTAAATGGCTTTTTTTCGTTAATTTTTTTTTTTCTTTTATTTGAATTAAAATTATACATAAAATAATCTTATAAATAAATAAATAATTAATTAATTAATAACTTTAAAATTTAAAGATAACTAAAATATAAAATATTTTAAAATTTTTTTAAAAAATAAAATGTCACTAAAAATTTATTGGGATAGAATCACTGAAAAGCATTCAATCAAATTGATGAATCATTTAAATCAACAATTATCAGGTTTAACAAAGACATATGAGAATATTGGTGAATTAAAATTATCAAATTTGTCATTGGGTTCAAAACCACCAACTTTTGAAATTATACAAATATCTGATCCAGATGCATTAATTTTAGGTACTAAATCACCAAATGGGATCGAATTAAGAGCTAAAATAGGATATGAAGGTGATGCATTCATTATAGTTCAAACCGAATTTAAAGTTAATTTACCAACTCCCAATTTTATTACCTTTCCAGTCACTGTAAAGGTTTCCAACCCAAAATTCTCAGGTATATATCAAATAATTTTAATTTATTTATTCACCCCCACTAACTTTTTTATTTTTTTTTCGACATTTAGGTATTGCATCAGTAATATATGATACAGATAAAGTTTGTTTTTGTTTTGTTCCACCAGCTGATAATTCCGAAGGAGATTATACACCATTAAAAGATTTTAAATTTGAAACTCAACTTGGTGATTCAGATCAACATGTTTTAGCAGATTTAGACAAACTAGAAAATTTTATAGTTGGAGAAATCAAATCATTATTAAAGAAATATTTAGTATATCCAAATAAACTTACAGTTTTATTAAGCGATTTTAATTAAATAAATAACATCCATTTCAAATATATAATAGTAAATATCAAAACGACCACAAAACTGCAAAAATGTAAAAAAAAAAAAAAAAGAAATTACAAAAGATAATTATAAAATTAGGTCAAGCATAATAGTTTAGGCTTAATATTAAATTTAATATTGTTTAAAAGAAAATAAATAAATAAATAATTTTAGATATACTTTTTTTTTTTTTTTTTATAATTATTATTATTGTTATTATTATTTTAATTTTATATACAATTAAATTTTAAAAAGTTTTTATTTTTATTTATAAAGAACTTTACATTGATCTTTGCTTTACTTTTTAGATACAATTAAATTATTTTGAACTGACGCCAACACCGTTTTCTTCTTTAATTTTTTTATCAATATCTTGTCTGGTTTTTTCTTCTTTTTTAGTTTTTTCTTTTTCTGCTTTTTCTTTTTTCTTTTGTTCCTTTTCAATTTTTCTTTTTGATTTTTTACGTAATGAAAAGTCCGATCCTTTATCCATAGATTGACCAATATCGTCCAATTTTAAAGATTGAGTTTGTAATTCGGTTTGAGTAGCCATACCAATGTTTTTAAGGTCTGAAAGGATATCTTGCATTTCGTCAAGTTGAGCATCTTGTTTTTTTATCCATGTTGAACGTTGGACAAATACATTATCTTTGACACCTTCATCACTTAAACGATGTATAGGTACCGCTTGATTTTCCATGGCATAGTTAATTTGTGTTTTATCTTTATCATTCAATGGGTCGTTTTTCCATAATCTTGATAGACCTTTCTTTTCAAATCTTTCTTCTTCGTTCATGTATTGTTCTTTTGGTGATTTTGGTGTTGTTGTGCTAGTGGTTGTTGTGTTGGAGAATGGGTTACCAGATTCTTGATCCTCTTTTTGTTTTTGTAAATGTTCCTGTGCCAGTCTTTCTCTTTTTTCTTTTTCGTCATTTTGTCTCTAATTATATATTTTTACATCTACATCATGCTTTATCTTTAATCTATTGACTTCATTGTGTAGCTCTTGGTTCTTCCTGTCTTCACCTTCATTTTTTTCATTCTTATCTTTCTTTGAGAATCTTTTCATATATTTATTAAACTTTTTATATTTTCCTAACCCTTTTATATATGTCTCCTGTTCTTCTGTCAGCTTATTAACTCTATTCATTTGTTCGCCCTGTTGACCTAATTTACATAGATTATCGACACCTGTTGAATGAGATTCTCTTAACTGCTCCAACATTCTTGTGGTTCTATCTAAACTGCCATATTTTTTTTCCCATTCCTCAACCCTATCATTAATTTCTTGTTCCTATAAATTTAAACACGTTAATACTTTATTAACTTTATTATTTTTTTATTTTTTTTTTATTTACATAAGAAATTTTCATTTTTCTTGTATATTATACAAAAGTAAAATACACATAATAAAAAAAATTATTTATTTTTATTATTTATTTATAATTATTAAAAAAAAAAACAAAATAAAAAATTTTAAAAAATAAAATAATAATAACAAATAATTAATTTTTTTATTATTTTTATATAACCTTTTTTTTTTTTTTTTAACTTACATCTTCTGGAGTAAAGCTCTGTTGCTCTATTTGTTGTTTTGACATTTTTTATTATTTGTAATTGTATATTATTAATTGTTATTTTTTTTAAACAGATATTTTTCTATTTATCTGTAAAAAAAAAAAATTATTTAATATGTATTATGTGAAATGATTATTATTAAATGAAAATAATTTTAAAAAAAAATATTCAAAACAGAAAATGTCAAAAAATAAAAAATAAAAAATAAAAAAAATTATTTATATGTGTAATGGAAACATAATTCGCAATAAAATTAATTATAAAACCTTCTAATGATACGTTTGCCTTTTTAGTTTTTAATTTTTATTTTTTTATTTTTTTTTTTTTATTATTTTTTATTTTTTTAAATTAAATTTTAATTTTTTTTTTTTTTTTTTTCATTGAACGAAATAATTTGAAAAAGGAGTATTGTATTTGTTCATATAAAATATATTATATTTTTTAATTGATTTCTGGAAAGAAAGAGAGAGAACAAGATGTTTTTATTATTAAACAATTTTTATTAATTGCAAAAAGAAAAAAAAAAAAAAAAAAAAAAATTAATTTTAAAAATATTTAATTTTTTTTTATTTTTTATTTTTTTTTTAAATTTTAAACTTTATTTTTTTATTTTTCATTTTTTTTTTTTTTTTCATGTACATTAGAAATAGCTTACGACAACTATATAAAACTACATTATTAAATTATAATATTAAAATCAACCACTACTCTACAATAAATAGTACTAATAATAGTAATAGTAACAATAGAAATAAAATGAGTATTAAACCAATTATTTGCCCATCATTATTATCATCTGATTTTTCATTTTTAGCAAGAGATGCAAATTATATGCTCGATTGCGGCGCCGATTGGTTACATATGGACGTTATGGTAATTAATAAATAATATTAAAATAATCATCAATAAAAATAATAATAAATAATAAATAATGAGAGATATTAATTTATTTATTAATATGTATAGGATGGACATTTTGTACCAAATTTAACTATTGGTGCACCAGTTATTAAAAGTTTAAGAAAACATACTAAGGGTCATTTAGATTGCCATTTAATGGTTACCAACCCAGAGTTAATGATTGAAGATTTCAAGAGTGCTGGTGCAGATTCAATTACATTCCATATAGAAGTAACAGAGGAAAGAGGTATTACAAATCAAGTCATTAAAAAAATTAAAGATGCAGGTATGCAAGTTGCAATTAGTGTTAAACCAAAAACACCAATAGAATCAATTTTCCCATACATTGATCAATTAGATTTTGTTTTAATTATGACAGTAGAACCTGGTTTTGGTGGTCAATCATTTATGAAAGATATGATGCCAAAAGTTAAATTACTTCGTCAAAAATATCCAAATCTTAATATTCAAGTTGATGGTGGTTTAGATCCAAATACTATTGATGAAGCTGCCCAAGCTGGTGCCAATGTTATCGTTGCAGGATCTGCTCTTTTCAAACCAAATCAAGATCCAAAAGATACAATTAAATTATTTAAAGATGTAATTAATAAAAATATTCCAAATTGGTCACAATAATTAAATAATAATACTAATAATAACAATAAAAATAAATGGTTAAAGAAATTACACCGATGTTTTAATGGTTTTTTTTTTAAAAAATTGATTTTGATTTTTCTTTGAAAAATATTTTTATCTGTTTTGTGATTTTTTTCATTTTTTTTTAAAATTAATTTTTTTTTTTCATTTTTTTTATAAAACACCTTTTTTTTTTTTTTTTAAAACAACAATTTTTAACAAAATGGAAACAAAGATAAAAGTGGAAAGGGTTTTCAGAGAGTATGATGAATTAATAGTATATACTAAAAGTGTATTTCTTTTAGAAAGACCAATTGATTTATCTGTATTGTTTGCAGTAGCTTTATTGGTTACCTATAAAATTTATCATTCTGATATACCTTTTTTCTCACTATTATTTCTTTTGATTGCAATTTATTTTCTTTTGCAATTATTATTTTTAAATTATAAAAATATTTCAAAATATATTGTAAGTTTAATTTATATATAAATTTATAATTATAAATCAAAAAAATCAAAATTTTTTTATTAATTTTTTTATTAATTTTTTTTTTAGCCAACCAACAAAGTTAAATATGATAACACTGATGTAATTAGTTTCATTGTTGAAATAAGATTAATGATTGATGAGTGCTTCATTGAAATTAAAAAATCAAGAGATTCAAACCATAATAGAGTAAGTTCATATATTTTTTATATTATATAATATTTAAATTAACATTCTAATAATTTATAAAAAAAGTTTTATTTAAAATTGGCAATGTTTTTTTTAATATTAAGTATTGTCACTTTTATGTTATCTTTATCTATTATATTTTATATTTTAGCAATTGTTTCATTGTTTTTATTACCATTTGTTTTATTTGGTAAAAAGCCAGAAAACACTAAAGGTGCTAAAAACATGATTGCTACTGGTATAATTGCAGTTGGAAAACCAAGTTTGAAAATAGTCAAGGTAATTTTAAGACACACATATAACTATTTATTCAGTATCTCATCTTTAAATAGTGCAGAGGAACCAAGCACCAATGCAAATACTACAGAGAATGAAGAACCACTGGAAACTGTAAATGAACCAACCAAAGAAGAAGTATTAGCTGAAGAAAAACCAATTAAATCGTCCAAACCCTTTATGGTATCCCCATTCCACGAAGATTTAGTTTGCTTAGTTGAAATACCAAACAGTGATAGAGAGCAAGAATATAGAATTTCAAGTAAAGGTTTTGAATTTTCAGATTTAAATGATGGAGAATTTAATATTAATTTGTAGGTATATCTTTTTTTATCATAATTTTTTTAAAAAAGTGTGTGAAAACTAATATTTTATTTTATTCCAGTATTTTTAAAAAGGGTTTATCTAAACCAATTTCTTTAAAGAAAACTAAAATATTAAAAGAAAATGGAGAGTATAAACCAGGTTTTATCGATTTATCAGCTTCAATTATTTCATTATCATTTAATGCATATGATAAACCAGTTCAAAACTCAAAACTTACCGGTACAATTCAAATAGAGGGTGAAGATGAGATATTAAATCTCGATTCAATGACAGATTCAAAGGGTTTTTATAAGATTGTCTTACCAAAAAGTAAAGTAGAAGTAATGGTTAAAGGTATGGTTGATGGCAAACCAGTTTGTATCAATGAAAGCTATATTATTGAAGAATCAAAACCAGCATCAAACATTGAACAAGCTAAAACCATTAGACCCAAATCATTCAATAAATCAGTTAACTGCACCAATTACACAATTACCACAACTGGTAAAAAGACAGTTTATCTATGTGATATCAGTGGTTCTATGTCCCTCTCGGTTAATGGTGTGCCTCAAATCGAAAAATTGAAATCAACTTTAAAAAAGAAAATTGAAGAAAACAAAAACTCAATATCAATTGCAGCATGGAACAAAAAGACCTCTTTTTCAATTGGGAATGAATGGTTAAATAGTGAAACTAAAAGCAAAAATAAAATCCGTCTCATAAATTGGGTTGATTCTTTAAATCCATTTGGTGGAAATGATATGAAGCAAGCAATTTTATCAAGCATTTCTCAATTTGGTGATGCTGAAGAGTTTGTTGTACTTTGTGATGGTGATATATCACCATTTGACTTGGCTAGCTGGTCCACTTTTTACAGAGATAATTCAAAATATATATTTTCTTTTGTTGGTATTGGTAGTTCCTCAGACGAGGCAATGAAACAAATGTCCCAAATTAGTAATGGCCAATATTCAAGGGTTGATTAAATAAAATAAAATTTTATCACACATATAATTCATTACAATACAAAAAAAAAATTTTAAATAAAAAACAAAAAAAAAACAAAATTAAAATAATACTTAGGATACTTAGGTAGACTACATTCCATAATACTTAAATGGTTAATGGTTTTTTTTTTAAAACTGATTTCGATAATTAAAAAAATATCTTTATGATTTTTTTCACTTTTTTTAAAATTAATTTTAATTTTTTATTCCCATTTTTTTATAAAACCATTTTTTTTTTTTTTTTTTAAAACAACAATTTTTAACAAAATGGAAACAAAGATAAAAGTGGAAAGGATTTTCAGAGAGTATGATGAATTAATAGTATACACTAAAAGTGTATTTCTTTTAGAAAGACCAATTGATTTATCTGTATTGTTTGCAGTTACTTTATTAGTTACCTATAAAATTTATCATTCTGATATACCTTTTTTCTCACTATTATTTCTTTTGATTGCAATTTATTTTCTTTTGCAGTTATTATTTTTAAATTATAAAAATATTTCAAAATATATTGTAAGTTTTATTTAATTTATAAAAAACAAAAAAACCAAAATTTTTTTATTAATTTTCTTATGAATTTTTTTTTAGCCAACCAACAAAGTTAAATATGATAACACTGATGTAATTAGTTTCATTGTCGAACTAAGATTAATAATTGATGAGTGCTTCATTGAAATTAAAAAATCAAGAGATTCAAACCATAATAGAGTATGTACATATATTTTTTATATTATATAATATTTACATTAAACATTCTAATAATTTTTAAAAAAAAGTATTATTTAAAATTGGCAATAATTGCTTTATTATTAAGTATTGTCACTTTTATGTTATCTTTATCTATTATATTTTATATTTTAGCAATTGTTTCATTATTTTTATTACCATATGTTTTATTTGGTAAAAAGCCAGAAAACACTAAAGGTGCTAAAAACATGATCGCTACTTATATAGTTTTATTCGGTAAACCAAGTTTGAAAATAGTCAAAGTAATTTTAAGACACACATATTACTATTTATTCAGTATCTCATCTTTATATAGTGCTAAAAATGAACTACATAATGAAGCAAAACCATTTATGGTATCCATATTCCACGAAGATTTAGTTTGCTTAGTTGAAATAACAGGCAGTGGAAGAATGCAAGAATATAGAATTTCAAGTAAAGGTTTTGATTTTTCAGATTTAAATGATGGAGAATATGTTTTTAATTTGTAGGTATATCTTTTTTTATCATAATTTTTTTAAAAAAGTGTGAAAACTAATATTTTATTTTATTCCAGTATTTTTAAAAAGGGTTTATCTAAACCAATTTCTTTAAAGAAAACTAAAATTTCAATAAAAAATGGTGAATATAAACCAGATTTTATAGATTTATCAGCATCAATTGTTTCATTATCATTTAATGCATATGATAAACCAGTTCAAAGCTCAAAAATTACCGGTACAATTCTAATAGAGGGATCATGTGGGGCGTGGCATATCGATTCAATGACAGATTCAAAGGGTTTTTATAAGATTGTCTTACCAAAAAGTAAAGTAGAAGTAATGGTTAAAGGTATGGTTGATGGCAAACCAGTTTGTATCAATGAAAGCTATACTATTGAAGAATCAAAACCAGCATCAAACATTGAAGAAGCTAAAACAATTAGAGCCAAATCATTCAATAAATCAGTTAACGGTAGTGTGTATGACATTTATACAACTGGTAAAAAGACAGTTTATCTATGTGATATAAGTGGTTCTATGGCCCTCTCAGTTAATGGTGTATCTCAAATCGAAAAATTGAAATCAACTTTAAAAAAGAAAATTGAAGAAAACAAAAACTCAATCTCAATTGCAGCATGGAACAGAATTACCGATTTTTCAATTGGAAATGAATGGTTAAATAGTGAAACAGAAGTCAAAAATAAAAACCGTCTCATAAATTGGGTTGATTCTTTACGTCCAAGTGGTGGAAATAATATGGTGCAGGCAATTTTATCAGGCATTTCTCAATTTAGCGATGCTGAAGAGTTTGTTGTACTTTGTGATGGTGATACATCACCATTTGACTTGGCCAGTTGGTCCACTTTTTGCAGAGATAATTCAAAATATATATTTTCTTTTGTTGGTATTGGTAGTTCCTCAGACGATGCAATGAAACAAATGTCCCAGGTTGGTAATGGCCAATATTCAAGGGTTGATTAAATAAAATTTTATCACTATATAGTTCATTACAATCCAAAAAAAAATTCAAATAAAAAAAAAAAATTATAATGTAGAACACATTCCATAATACTTAGCTTTTTTATGATTTTATTTTAATTTAACAAAATGGAAATATAGAAAAAATTGGGGATGATATTCAGAGATTATGATGAAATAATACTGTATTTCTTTTTGAAAGATTAATCGATTTATTAGTTACCTATACAATTTTCTCGTTGTGATACCTTTTTTCTCACTCTTGTTTCTTTTGGTTTCAGTTTTTTTTCTTTTTGCAATTATTGTTTTTAAATTATAAATATAATTCAAAATATATCAAAAGTTTAATTTAATAAATTATAGTTCAAAAAATTAAAATATCTTTTTAGACTACAAACAAAGTTAGATAATAGAGTAAGTTCATATATTTTATATTATATAATATTTAAATAAACATTTTAATAATTTTTAAAAATTTAATGTGGGTTCTTTAGGGAGGTTACAGTAAATTTTTTGTTATATAAATTTGTTTAATATCACCACTGACCAAATTTTTAAAATTTGTATGGAAAACCCACACAAATTTTAAAAATTTGGTCGTACGTGATGTAAATTGATTATATTTTATAATATTGTTAAAGCCAATCAAGTTGGCGAAATTTGAAAATAACAAAAAAACCCACCTATATTTTAAATAACATTTTCTGTCATTAAATTTTGAAAAAAAAAAAGATTAATCAAATTTGAAAAGTTTTAACAATAAATTTTTTAATACAACAAAGTTTAATGTTGATTGCATTTCATAATGCTAAGGGTAGACATTCAATAATACTTAAGGGGGGTTAGTGGTTTTTATTTTTAAAATTGACATAGATTATTCAAAGAAAACTATATTTATATTTTTTTCATTTTTTTTTCCATAAAACACCCCTTTTTTATATTTTTTAAAAAAAAACCCCTTTTTTTATTTTTTTTAAACAACATTTTTTAAACAAATTTATGTATAATTTTTTTTTTTTTTTTTTTAAAAATTTTTATTTTTTTTTATTTTTTTATTTTTTATTATTTTTCAAATACTATATTATAACCACAATACATGGAAAGGTGAATGTTATCACAATTACATTTGATTTCGATTAAATATAAATTTCTTACAATCTGGGAATTTGTTCACATTAAATATTTTTTTCTACCATTTCTATCTAAAGTTATTTTTGAAAGATATTAGATTTTTAAATTTCTAAAATGGAACCAGAAATAAGTTGATTAATTCAAAGATATAAGAAATTCTCCTAATAATGGTTTTGCATTTGATGATAAAAATAAATTAACAACAACCCAATTATATAGTAATACATAAAACTAATCTTTTATTGGTTTTTGAGAGAAAGCTCAGTCTATAAACCAAAAGTAATATGGTTTTACCGTATATATTAGAAATTCGTTTCCAAATTGCACTTAATTAGTATCAAAATTTTATAGATTATAAAGGAATAATGTTGAATTTGAATGGGCATCTGAATTAGAAGAAGTTCTGCAAACATTGTTATTGAATTGTTTATTTTACTAACTTCAATTTGATCTTCATTTGCTTCACCATCGGAGATATAATCTAGATTATTATTATAATTGGTTTTTTTTATTAGAATAATTATATAATTTAATAATAGTGAGGTGATAAAATAAAAAAAGATAGATAACAAAATAATTAAAATATAATGTGAGTGGTTCTATAGAGGGTTAAAATGAAAATTGTTTGTTATATTAATTTGAATAATATGTAAATTGGTTATATTTGATAATAATATTGTTAAAGCCGATCAAGTTTGAAAAATTATGAAAAAACAAAACCCACCAAATTTTTAAATACCATTTTCAATTAAATTTTGAAAAAAAATTCTTTGCACAATTTTAAATAGTTTAAACAATAAAAAAAATTAAAAAAACAACAGAGTTTAATGTAGACAACATTTCATAACACTAAGGGTAGATCACATTCCATAATACTTAAGGGGGGTTAGTGGTTTTTATTTTTAAAATGATCTAGATTATTAAAAGAAAAACATATTTATATTTTTTTTATTTTTTTTTATTTTTTTTTTTTTTCATTTTTTTTTCTATAAAACACCTTATTTTTTTTTTTTTTTTATAACAACAATTTTTTAACAAAATGGAAACAAAGAAAAAAGTGGAAAGGGTTTTCAGAGAGTATGATGAATCAATAGTATACACTAAAAGTATATTTCTTTTAGAAAGACCAATTGAATTATCTGTATTGTTTGCAGTTACTTTATTGGTTACCTATAAAATTTATCGTTCTGATGTTCCTTTTTTCTCATTAATATTTCTTTTGATTGCAATTTATTTTCTTTTGCAATTATTGTTTATTAATTATAAATATATTTCAAAATATATTGTAAGTTTACTTTAATTTATAAAAAAATTATAAATAAAAAAAATTTTTATTAATTTTTTTTTTCTTTTTAGCCAACTAACAAATTTAAATATGATAACACTGATTTAATTAGTTTCATTGTAGAACTAATACTATGGATAGATAAGTCTTTAATTGAAATTAAAAAATCAAGAGATTCAAACCATAATAGAGTAAGTTCATATATTTTTTATATTATATAATATTTAAATAAACATTCTAATAATTTTTAAAAAAGTTTTATTTAAAATTGGCAATGTTTTTTTTAATATTAAGTATTCTTAGTTTTGTGTTATTGTCATCTATGATATTTTATATTATTGTTATTGTTTCATTATTTTTATTACCATTTGTTTTATTTGGTAAAAAGCCAAAAAACGCCAATAGTACTAAAAACATGATTGCTACTTGTATACTTTTAATGGGTAAGCCAATTTTGAAAACAGCCAAAGTAATTTTCAGATACATATATAACTCTTTATTTAGTATCTCTTTAAAAAGTTCTAAACAAGCAAAGCCCTTTACGGTTTTCCCATTCCACAAAGATTTAGTTTGCATAGTAAAAATACCAGACAGTTCCGCAAAAAAAGAATATAGAATTTCAAGTAATGGTTTTGATTTTTCAGATTTAGATGATGGAGAATATAATGTTAATTTGTAGGTATATCTTTTTTTATCTTTATTTTTTAGAAATATGTTTGAAAACTAATATTTTATTTTTTTTCAGTATTTTTAAAGAGGGTTTATCTAAAGCAATTTCTTTAAAGAAAACTAAAATTATAATAGAAAATGGTGAATATAAAACAGATTTTATTGATTTATCAGCATCAATTGTTTCATTATCATTTAATGCATATGATAAACCAGTTCAAAACTCAAAACTTACCGGTACAGTTCAAATAGAAGGTGAAAGTGAGAAATTGAATCTCAATTCAATTACAGATTCAAAGGGTTGTTATGACACTGTCTTACCAAAATGTAAAGTAGAAGTAGAGGTTAAAGGTGTCATTGATGGCAAACCAGTTTGTATCAATGAAAGCTATAATATTGAAGAATCAAAACCAGCATCAAACATTGAAGAAGCTAAAACCATCAGACCCAAATCATTTAATAAATCAGTTAAATGTGAGAATTATAATATTAGTACAGCTGGTAAAAAGGTAGTTTATCTATGTGATATCAGTGGTTCAATGGACACGTCAGATAATGGTGTATCTCGAATAGTTACATTAAAGAAAAATATAAAAAAGATAATTGAAGAAAATAAAAACTCATTCTCAGTGGCAGCATGGAACACAAGTACCAGTTTTTCAATTGGAAAAGAATGGTTAAATAAACAAAATGAAGCTAAAAATAAAACCCTTCTCATAAATTGGATTGATTCTTTAAAAGCAGCTGGTGGAACTGATATGAAGCAAGCAATTGTAGCAGGTATTTCTCAATTTAGAGATGCTGATGAGTTTGTTGTACTTTGTGATGGTGACATAACACCATTTGACATGGCCAGTTGGTCCACTTTTTACAGAGATAATTCAAAATATATGTTTTCTTTTGTTGGTATTGGCAATTCCTCAGATGAACAAATGAAAGAAATGTCCCAAATTGGTAATGGCCAATATACAAATGCTTTTTAAATAAAATAACGTAAATAGTTCAATACAAAAAAGAAATTTTCAAATAGAATAACAAAAAAATAAAAAAAATAAAAATAATTTCTTTTTTTTTTAGTTTTATTTTAATTTATTTTTTTTTTTCGAATTTTCTGGTTTTTTTTTTTTTTTTTTTTTTTAAAAAATTATTTAAAAAATAATTTAATCAATATGTTAATAAATAATAGGAGTAATGAAAATACCTCATAAAATATTTATTATATATTTTTTTTTAATATGCCTAATATCTAAAATACAATCACAATTCAATGATAATAGTTTTATAAATATCAACGATGATAATAATATATATATAGATATAAATTCTAATAGCAATGGCGATGGATCTATAACCAACCCATTTCAAAGTTTATGCAATTTAAATAATGCAACCAACAATAACAGTATTTTAAAATCAAATACAACCATAAATATTTCATATGGAAATTATGAATCAATGTCATGCACATTTAAAATTTTAAATCTTAATAATATTAAAATAATGCCATATGATGGTAATAATAATAATTATTATAAGTTTGTTAATATAGACCAAATAAATTTAAATATAATAAATTCAACAGAAATAAGTTTTTTTAATTTTAAATTTAATTTACTAAATAATCTATTTATAAATAATTGTACAATAACATTTAATAATATCAAAATTGACTTTTTAAATACTTTTTATCAATCAATTGAAAACTCAAATATATTTTTTAATAATAGTTCACTAATAAGGGATAGTAATAATAATGGTTATAAATATATATATATATTCAAGACAAATTTTGAAATTTACAATTCACTTATAAATAGTAAATTAAATTTTTATGATAGCAACACAAATATGAATAATATTTCAATTTCAAATTTTAAAGATTCTTCATCAATTATATCAATAGAATCAGGTATACATAATATCAATAATATCACTTTTAGTAATTGTATAGCATCAACTTTAATTAAACTAAATAATAATAATCAATTAAAATTAACGATTAATAGTATTTATCTATTACAAAATAGTTATTTTACTCTATTTAAACTTCTTGGCAATATTGATTATTTTAATATCTCAAATATTTATACTTCAAAGTTCTCAACTATCCAATGTGATATTAATCAACTTATATCAATGCCTTCAAATGAATTATTGAAACCCAGTAATATTTTCATTTCAAACACAAGTTTCGAATGTTTTGGTGCATCTATATTTAACAATGCCTCAGTAGAGTTTAATAATGTCGAAATTAGAACAACATTTAGAGACTCTTTTTACCATAGTGTAAATGATGGCGAAATTAGATTTAAATCAAGTTTCTTTAAAGTCAGCAATATAGATGCTAGCAATGATATGGGTTATTTTATTTTTTTAAACACATCTTCTATTTCTTTTGACAACTGTACATTAAAAGATTCATCATCATCATTCTTATTTTCCCTCAATTCTCAAAGTATCATTATTAGAAATTCCAATTTTTCAAAATTTATGTCAAACATCCAAGAGTTCCTTATTTTAGTTGGTTATAAAAATTTAGAAATATCAAACTCTGAATTTGTGGATTATAGTGGCCAAACATTCTTATATAGCAATTCTGGAAATAGCTCTTTAATATCCTCCGTAAAATTTACTGGTTTTTTTGTTGTAAATAGATTCGAGTATACACTGAATTCAATTTATTCAGATTTTGAAATAGAGGGTTTGATCGTTAGTAATTGCATTGGAGGTGAAGAGTCTTTTTTTTTATTTAGTTTTGGAAATTTGGTAATGTCCAATTCAATTTTCACTAATAACCACGGCTCAGGAATTTCTTCATATCTTTTAATTAATGAAAGAGTCGAAATGTTTTCTTTTAAGTCCAATAATGTTCAACTTTCAAACAATCAATTCATTAATAATGCATTTTCTCCAATAGTTTTTTTTTCAGAATCAAATGTTATAATCCAAGATACAACCTATTTAAATAATGTTGGATCTTTTATATACGGAGAAACAGGATCCAAACTCATAATAGATGGCCTTGCAATTAAAAATAATACCTCACCAATTAATTTTTTATTAGCTCTTGAAAATGCAGCAAATGTTGAACTAAATAATATTATTTTAGAGAATAACTATTTCACCACCCCAATAATTTGTATTACTGGTAATGTATCCGACGCCAATCTCATCTTAAATAATTTCAAATTCATAGGTAATAAGGTTATTGTTTTTTATGGGGAGAATCAAAGTTTTAAAAAGTACTTTTATTTTTATCCAGACACCTCTGTTGCTCAAATTATGACAGCAAATATCAAGATTACTATGAATAATGTTTTTATTACAAATAATATTTTTTCAAGTCAAATGTTCAATTTTATAACGGATAAACTCAATATAACAGGTGGATCTTTTTCAAATAACCAATTTATTCACCTCAGTGGCTTTAAATTAATCTACCTAACTGCAAGTGGATCAGATAGATTAGTAAAGTTCCAAAATACAATAGTTAGTAATAACTATGACGAAACAGATATATCAGAAACTTCCCTCATAATTTTAAACAACTGTTATAAGCTAGAAATTGATTTTAGTGAGTTTTCAAATAATTATTTTCCAAATAGCATAGGATCTGTATTTGGTGTTAGAATTCGTGGTATTTTTGGAAAAGTTGGTTACACATATAATATCATAATTCAAAATTCAAAATTTTTCAATAACTCTGCACTATATGGGGGAGTATTTTCACTCTCTCTTCAGATATTTGTAGATGGTAGAAAATTAACAAGCGATATCCGTTCAAATAATTTTACGGACAACTATGCTTCCTATAATGGTGGGGTTTTCTATTTTCCATTCGAACAATTTAACACCGATTTCATTCTTCAAAAAAACAATTTCAATAATAACTTACTTCTTTTTGGTCCTAATAATTTTGGTGGTGGTATGCATAATAATCAAAATATTTTTCAAATAATTTATTTCTCTTTTTCTAATAATATTCTTTCTTTAATTTTTTAGCTCCAAGTTCCATCAAGCCAGATTTTTTTGAAGCAAATGGTATCGAATTATTATTAATTCAATTTCTAATTTTAGATCAAAGCAATAATGTAATGATTGGAATTGGTGGTTTATTTACTGCATCAGTTTCAAAAGGTGATCCAGATACCAATATTGATCCAGTGGTGGAATATATTAATATTAATATTGTGTCTGGTCAGGGTTCCTTTTATTATAGTTTCAATAGTGCATTTGGTTCCTATTACTCTATTCAACTACTCAACTTTACCGATCTTAATTCGATTACAATAAAAACAACAGGTTGTGGAACCTTTAGATATCCTACCAGAAATACATCAAGTACCTTTACCAATTGTGATTATTGTCCAATGGGTTCAGTTTATAGTGATTTGTTTTATAATTCTTCAAATCCTGGTAGATGTATCAAATGCGACCCAAATGAAATGGTGTGTCAAAATTCAAATGTTTACACTTTAGATAACTATTATATGGTATCACCTTCTAAAATCTACTCATGTTCATTAGATATGTGCTATAAAAAAAATACTTGCCAATCAAGTTTGTATACTGGTGACTTGTGTTATTACTGCACAAATAGTGTTTCAAAATCAGGCACTCAGTGCTGTTCATCTTTTATCCCAACGCTATTAATTCCATTGATTGCCATATATATAATCATTGGATTATCTCTTTCTGTTATCAAATACAACGAAGATCCAACCATAAAATCAATTATAGTTTTTATTCAAACCAACTCGGTTATATTCTTTTCATATGGCGGTATTTATATATTACCATTGTTTAGAGTATCCATCGATTTTATAGATGGTTATTGCTATTTTAAAAATTTAAACTATCTACACAAAATAATCATTTCAAACATTTTAATAATAATGTTATTTATAATAGGCTCATCAGATATCACACTTAAAATAATTTACTCATTGATTCAACACTATAAAAGATATATTGAAAAAGATTCAAAATATAAATCATTCTATAAAATAAATAGCATAGAAAAAGATATAAAGAGAATTTTAATTAAAAATCAAACAAGTAACTTAATCAATCAAACTAAATCACAATGGATACTATTTCAAATACTCTATATACCAATTATGTTTAATATAGCATCAGTAATAATTTATAAAGAACAATTTAAAATTTCAAAACAAATCGATCTTTTAGCTTTAGACTTTTCAGTTGAATATCTAGGTCCAGTTTTACACAAAATATTATTTACTTTATCAATATTTATATTTATAATAGTATCAATAGTTTTAATAATAATAGCTTTAAATTCATCCAGTTTTATATATTCTAGAATCAAATATAAAAATAATAAAATCGGTAGAATATGGATAGAATCAAATTTAATAGTTCAAAAAACCTTATCAAAATTAAATTACAAGAGAAAATACAGATGGTGGGATCTAATTATAATAATAAGATCCAATATATTTATAATATTATCATTAATAACGTTATTTGGACATCATTATTATATGAATATTGTATTATGGATTCAAACTATTTATTCAACACTATTCTTTATAATACATCCAATTAAAACCACCAAATCATTATCAAGCGAATCAAGAATTATAAATCAAATTAATCTATTCCAAATATTACTCTACACAATAGCGCAGTCAGCACTGTTTAAATCTATAAAACCACAACATAAAGGTATTATAGTAACCGTTTCTACTTTTATAATAGTCATTTTTATTTTATTACAAAAAATAAAAATAAAATAAACTTGATATTATTATATATATTTATAAATATGTAATATTAATTAATATAATTGTTTATATATAATTTTTTTTGGTATTATATTACCCATCATATTATTATTATTATATTTTTTTGAATATTCAGATTATAATGATTTATAAAATTGGTATTTTTCATATTTATTCAATAAAATAAAAAGTGTGTTGTTAGTATTTAATTTTTTTTTATTTTTTTTATATTTTTTTAATTTAATTATTTTTTTATTAGGGGTGTGTTTAAAAAATTATAATTGCTATTGACAAAAATTTAATAGTTTGTTCTTTTAAGATTACAAAAGGAAATTATTATCTATAATAGATTCTTTATTATAATTCATTAAATTTTTTTTTTATCCCACAATATTTAAACCTCGATAAAAATTTTTTTAGAATTTATTTTTCATTAAATTCAAACAGCAATTCAAAGTCATTTGTATCCAGTCAAGCTTAAATTTTTTGCCTCCTTTTAGTGTCCAGCCAAAACCAACCAGCTTAAATTTTTTTGCCTCCCTTTAGTGTTCAGCTTATTTTTTTCATATTTTCTTATACCCATTTGTACAAATTAAAAAAATGGGTATTTTCATTAAAATTATGTAAATTAAAAAATGGGTAATTTTTTTTCAAAAAAGGTAATTATCCTATATAACATACATTATAAACAAAATAAATAAATATTAATTATTCTTTTATTTGCATTTAGAATATTTTTGAAAAAAAAAGTTTTAGCTATGGAATCCAATATTGCTAATATGGAGACCAAAATAAATAGCTCAAAAACCTTTCGTTATAATAAAATAGAATTTTCTATTTTATTATTATTGAATTAATATTAACATCATTTTTAATTGACCAATTTATTCATCCAACATATTGTCTGAAAAGAAAATGTGTTTTGTATATTCTTTATTAATTTCAATGATGTAAGTTTTTCATTTTTAATAATTATATATTTGTTTTTGTTTATTATTGGTATTAACATTTTAGAATAAGTGTACAAAAGACCTCTCAATTAAATTAACATCCATGAGTTTTTTCATTCTAATCAACTATTTGATGAATATCAGACATTATTCTGGCCAAGAACTATGGTTTCATCCAATGTTTTAGATAAAGAAAATATTTAGTAGTCCCTATCCGGCAGCTTCCAAATAACAACTTGACACAAGTTCTAATCTCAGTAAATTCGTTCTGTCCAATTATATCTATATAGTTATGCGTTCAATTGATAATTTTCTCAATGACCACCCAGATTTCAGTATTAAAACGATGTATTAATTTGGCTACTATTAGGTACTCACGTCATGACTTCAATCTATTAATTTGAAGAATTTTGAAAAATATTAATCAAGATATAATTGATAATCTTTATGAATCAATCCAAGAATACAACAAAAAATTCATAATAAAGGTGGATTCCCATAAAAAAAAAAAAATTTGCATAAAAAATAAATTATATAAATTTAAATTATCTTTTTAAAAATAATGAACCCATTTTTTTTTTTTTGAAAATTTTTAAAAAAAAAAAAAAAAAGAAAAATTTGCAAAAAAAAAAAAAAAATTTATATAAATTGTTTTTTATAAATAAATATTTTTCAGATTTGTGTTTCGAAAATTTATTTTATATTTTTGGATAAATGAAATTATCGAAGATAAATAAAAATAAAAAAAATTTTAAAAAAGGGGTCAAAACTTTTGCGAACTGCTGAATTTTTAAAACACACTTTTTTTAAAAAATCGTATTTTATTTTATTTTTCTTAATTAAAAATGGGTGATAAACCAATAATTATTTATAAATAAATTAAATAATAATAATATAAAAAAAAACTTTATTTGGTTCTGCGCAGTGGACAAATTTTATTTTTTATCTTTTTTTAAAAACACACTTTTTTTAAAACATCGTTTTTTTTTTATTTTATTATTTTTTGATTAAAAATGGGGTGATGAAAAACTAATTATTTATAAATAAATTATAACAATAATATAAAAAAAATTTTATTTGGTACCGCGCTGTGGATAAATTTTATTTTTTATTCAGATTTTTTTATGGCAATGACTCAATTTCGAAAAAATAAAAAAATAAAAAATAAAAAAAAATAAAAATTTATAATTATATTTTTTTTTTTTTTTAAAATTAATTATTTTTTCATTTAAATTCATTTTTATTTTTTTTTTATTTCACTTATTTTTTCATTTATTTTATAATACAAATAAAATTAATATAAAATAATTACAATGGATAAAATTATTATTCAAGATTTACATGTGCAAGCAGTAATTGGGGTAAATCCAAATGAAAGAATTATAAAACAAAATATTATTATGACCATAACATCATATAGAGATTTATCCAAATGTGGTTCTACAGATAATGTTGCATATACAATCTCCTATAGCTCCCTATCTAAGGTAATTTTTTAATTTTTAATTAATTTAATTTTATTCTTTTTTTTTCCAAACACTAAAAATAATAACTTTTATTTTTAGTCATTATGTTCATATGCAGAATCATCACATCACTATACATTAGAAGCACTAGCAACAGGAGTAGCAAAGATTTGTTGTTTAGGTTTTGGTATTGAAAAAGTTAAAGTATTGATTCAAAAGCCGGGTGCAATTAAATTAGCAAAATGGCCAGGAGTAGAAATTGTTAGAACTTTGGACTTTTTCAAATCGAACTCTTATGTGGAAATTCCATCGAGCAATAAGCAAATATCTGCACCACCATCAAATGAAACCGGTTCTTCAAAAGAGGGGTTAAATATAGTTTATCTAGCATTTGGTTCCAATATGGGTGATAAATATGAAAATATTGTAAAGAGTTTCGAAATTTTAAAAGAAAAGGTAAATATTTTAGAAACATCTTTTATGTATGAAAGTGGTGCACAATATTTCTTAGAACAAGATTCATTTTTCAATTGTGTATGTAAAGGATCAACAGATTTAAAGCCACAGGAACTATTAGTATTCATCAAATCCATCGAAGAAAAAATGGGTAGAGATTTTAAAATGTTCAAAAATGGTCCAAGAATTATTGATATAGATATCATCTACTATAATAGCCAAATTTTAAAAATTGAAACATTAGAGATTCCACATCCATTAATGTGGGAAAGAGATTTTGTTCTCATACCTCTATGCGATATTGCACCAAATTTCATGCATCCAACCCTTCACATTACTTCAAATCGTATGAAAATGAATTTAAAACCATCCTCTATTCAAAAGATCTTCAGAATTGGAAAAATTAATTGGCGTTGGAATAAAAAAACATTTATTATGGGAATATTAAATGTAACTCCAGATAGCTTTGTTGATGGAGGCAAATACGATAGTGTTCAAAAGTCATTGGACCAAGCAACTAAATTAATCACACAGGGTTCAGATATTATTGATATAGGCGGCCAATCAACTTATCCTGGTGCAGCTCAAATTACAATTCAAGAAGAAATTGATAGAGTAGTTCCAGTAATTAAAAAGATTAGAGAAAAGTATCCAGATATCCCAATTTCAATTGACACATACAATCACCAAGTAGCAAAAGAAGCAATTTTAGCAGGTTGTAACCTAATCAATGATGTTAGCGGTGCAATGAAAGATCCAAATATGTTTTTAATCGCCAAAGAATATAAAACTCCAATTATATTAAATCATCAACAACCAACAACTCAATATCTACAACAAAAACAAAATGAACAAAATGTGAATGCTAATACAAATCAATCAAGCCAAAAAATAGATTTATCAAACCCAAGTGTTATAACAACACTAAATAACTTCTTTAAGGAAAGAATTGAAACAGCAACAAAACTAGGTCTTTACAGATGGCAATTAATATTAGATCCTGGTTTAGGTTTTTATAAAACATATGAACAATCCATCGAAATCATCAAAAAGGGTAAGGATCTAATATCCTTAGGTTTCCCTGTTTTGATTGGTCCATCAAGAAAAGGTTTCATTGCTCAAACCATCGCAAAATATGATGAATCGTCAAACGGTGAAGTTCCACCTCCAAATAGTGAAAGAAGACTTTATGGAACCGTTGCATGTTGCTGTATTGCCGCTTCTTGGGGTGTTAATATTGTTAGAATTCACGATATTAACCAAATCAAAGATTCATTATTAATTTCAGATTCCATTTATAAAAACCAACAATAAATAAAAGTTTTTTAAAATACTAGTTTTTTATAAAATAAATTGGAATTTGTTTAATGAAATTAAATTTATTATAGGAGGTAGAATATCTACTATTTATTTTTTATAATTTTTAGTTTATTTTTTTTTTAAAAAATTGATTTAATAAGATTTTAATTGTTTATGTATGTTGTTGGGATTGTTGGTTACTGTGACTATGACTATGATGATGATTTTGAATACTGTTGTTACTATTATTCAAAGCTTTATGTGTCATTTCAATAATACCTTGCACTTGGAAAAATGGATTAGAAATTAAATTTTCATCATTATTCTCTCTTGCTTTGGATAGCAATCTTGTTAAAATTGATCGATATTCTTCAGGACTTTCAGCTTCCAATTGAGTAAGTAAAAAGTAACTGGCGTGATATGCAATTTGAGTAGAGAGATCGCTTAGTAAATTTTTAAAGAAACTTATCCCACCAACTTTCTTTAAATCCTCTTCGTCGTTGCAACGTTGAATTAAAATATGTAAAAGGAATAATCTTTGTTCTTTTGTGTTTTCTGAGTGTTGGAGATTGTTGAAAAGATATTGAATGATATTGATATTGAATAATTTAAGTAATGAAATTGAAACCACAAATTGATTGGATAAAAATAATGAGTAGTTGGTATCTGGAACTGATTCTTTTGAACGTAATAAACCTGTACCTGCTCGTTTGTAAATCATATCAAATAAAATATCTACTATATACATTAAATTATTTTCTGATTTTTCACCTTGAGAAATTAGTTTTGTAAATCTATCATTAAACATATCGAAAATCTCTATAGTTTTTGTTTCACTTGTAGATAACTGTTAAACAATAAAAAATTAGAATTTGAAAATTATATTAATAGTCTGTAATAAAAATAAAATCATCTTACTCTAAACTTTGATAATAATAATAATCTTTCTGTTAATGAAATATACATTCTTCTTAATCTACTACTTAAATTTGAAGCCAATTGAATATATGTATTGATTGAAAAATTAAATTGTGGATTTGATTCTTTATCAATTAATGATTTCTTTAATAATAAAAATAACCAATTCTAAATTATATAAAAAAAAATTAGTATATTTTAAAGTTGAATAATTAATAAATCAATTATTTTATATTTACCTCTGCATAGAATAAAGAAACTTCGTCATCTTCATTATTTAATGTATCATTGATTAATTGGTTTAATCTCTCTGGGACTTCTTGGCAATCTAAAATTAACTTTTCATAGTTTGAATCGATTGATTGATAACGTGTTGCAAATTCCTCTAACTTCATTGTAAATTTGATAATTAGATCTTCGTAAGAATATGATGAGTCATGCTTGGCTTCTTCAGAGGTGTACAAAAAGAACTTTGAAATAAAACCATGTTCGGGTATACATTTAAAAATTTGGGTGAAATAATGTGAAGCATCAGATTTTCTAAACAGTTCTAGAAGCAATGGTGATTCATTGATGATTTGTGATTGTTCAATAGTTTGAGTTTTTAAGGCTGTAAGTAAAACATAATCGAATATTATTACAAATAAATTATTCTTGGATTCGCTTGATCTAACAGTTGTATATAACTGCAAAATAAAATTGATACCACCAACATTATTAACCTCCTCTTCATTTAAATTTAAATAGTTGTTTTGATAATTAATTTGATTACAAATTGGATCCTTATATCTGTAGAATAAAAAAAAGAAATAGTGTTAATAAATAATTAAAAATTAAAATTAAATAAATAGAATAAAAATACATACAAAAAGTTTGTTAGCATTCTTACTAAAATTCTTTTAACATTATCATTTAAATCTTGAATATATAATAAAAAACTTGCAATCATTTGAGAATTTAATTGGAATAATTTTTCTTTGATAACATAACCCTCTTCAGTGATAAAGAAAAGAATACAATTTAATGCTTCTTGCCAAGTTCTTTCGTCTCTTTCTTTAAAATCTATTAAATGTTGTACCATTTCAACCAAAATTCTAAAAACACTTTCCTGGAGATCTCTAATCATTGACAAGCCGCCACTGCTATTTGTAGTTTGAATATTGCCGCCATCTTCTAATTTTAATTCAGAGTAAAGGTTTATGTGAATGGAGAGATTAAATAATATGTTAAATGTATGAGCCCTGGTGTCTCTATTTGTGCTTGATATGAATTGATGGAAATAACTTGATATTAATTTTTCACTACTTTGGACCACTAAACCATCTTTACAATAGATATCTAGTATAATTTTAATAAAAATTTTGGTGGCAATTGAACGATCCTGTGGTGTAGCTGGATTTATAATAACTCTGACAACTTGCACAATTTCTTGCTCAGTAATCTTTAAAGGCTCTTGATCTTTATAGTATTTATATTGAAATAATGCTGGTTTTCTTCTTCGAAATGTAAATATGGTTTGATCTTTCTTTTCAATTTTCTTTTTACTTTCTTTTACTATATTAATTCTTGTCCAATTCTTTGAATCGTCTGGGCATTTAAATACATCTTTATTTGGTTTAACTTCACTTTGATTTAATCCTCCAAATGGTGATGATGTTAATAAACTTTGTGCTTCTATAAAAAATATATAATTAAAATTAGATAATGTTAGTATTAATTATATAACCTGTTTATCCAATCAACAACCTAAACTATCACACTTACTTATTGAGGATTTTGTTGATGCTTTTATTGACATTAAATCTCTAATATAACCATCGATATAAAAACTTGGTGATCCATTGGTACTTGACATTGTACTTGTGCTTTCTTTTAAACCTAAACTTTGACCCAGTATATGCACGATACTGATGATTAACTATATTAATATGTCAGCGTATGCATGGAGTATCTTGACTTATATAGCCTTTTTTTCTCTTTTTTTTCTCGTTTTGTCGTTTTTTCTCGTCGTTTTTTTTTTTTTTTTTTTTTTTTTTTTTTTTTTTTTTTTT